CCCTTGCCTTCTACCTATCTAAAACAAAAGACATTAGAAAAACAGTCAAACTCTTCATTTACTACCATGGTCACAAGACAGATCAAGCTGTTCTTCTCAGCTGTTGTCAAAGTGGATGCTTTCTGTGATCAAACTAACATATGATCTAGCTAAAGTTTATTTACCGTCCATAGTCAGGAGTCATTCAACTAGGGCAGTGAGTACTTCCAGATTCAGTACGTAAAGCAGCAACACGGCCCCAGACATCCACTTTTCTGAGACACTATAGACTGAATGTGCAAACCTTGGCATCCTTCAGCCAAGCAGTGTTGCAGTAATTATATGCTGGTGTGCTATCCTTCCACCATGGCTTGAGCCAGTAAGTCACCCAGTTGTGTGGTTCACAGATACCACAACGAGGAAGAACAAGTTGCTTACCTGTAACTGTGGTTCTTCAGGTGGTTATCCATGAATTCATACAATCCAGAAATGAGGAGAATTTTCCTCCCCTCTCTGACACACATTTTTTAGAACTTTTTGGGTTGCAAATGGAGAGAGATTGAGGGAAAGCCATGAGTGGCTTGAAGCATGCACATAGCGAATTGGGGGAGGGTCAAAGGTCTTTAACTTTCAGCTGTGCACTCTGGAGCATTCTGGATGGGAATCTACCCAGCTATCCAACTGTGTGAATTCACAGATAACCACTCAGAGAACCACAGTTATAGGCAAGGAACTTATTCTTTTCTTCTTTTTTGCTATGGTTATTCTGAGATTGCTAAAGCTCAGCTGATTTTCTTGCCTGGAGAACTGCTGTCTTATTCTCCTAGATGCAGAAAACAGAGTTTATTCTTCATCACTTTTGATTGGTACCATGACATGAGGGATGAAGGGAGTTTTCCCTCCCAGATCATTCTGCATCTAAATTAGTTGTCTTATCCAATTATTTATTTAATCTTGTTTTTTTCACCTCTCTTATTTAGTCATTAATTTAGTATTTCACATCATTAATGAAGGCCTGGAGCATTCTCCTCATTTCTGAATTAATTTTCTCAGTTTTTGATGACATGCCTTAGTAATAATTGGTATGTCTGTTGCTCCACAGTGCATTTATTTTGGTTTGAGGGGATTTCTAATAGAGGAGGCTTTTCATACTTTTGCAGGAGGAAACCTTATTTTCCCATCACCTGTTCCAGAGTTTCAGGATCTTGTTTCTTAAGATGATCCAAAATGTCTCAATTCATTCCACTCTTCTGACTTGTCTGGTGATTTTCAGGAGCTAATGACTACAGTATTTTACTTTTTTCCCTGTCTAATTACAGATATACATTTTATAATTAATTTTTTTGATCAATACATTTTTAACCCTGACCATATAATAAACATGTAACGCTTGATATGCCTATCTCAGGGCTGCAATTTTCTGAGAGTGAGATAGTGAGCAGCATATAGTGGTCAGTGTCCATAAGCCCCAAGGGGAAAAAAAAACAGCCAATTGGTTCCTTGAAATACGTGCATCGAACTTGCTTTATAAAGTGGACATGTAGGTTCATATGTTCTGGCATTGAACTACTCTTGATGAAGACCAGTTAACTTTCAAATACTCCTGTATTTTATGTAGTACTCTGTGTTGACCAGTTTTTCTTGCTGTGTGCTGTCAGTAAAGCAGATGAAGACATAACTTTATTTTCATCTCTTTTGACTTGGGAGAACAAATGGGTTTTTGAGCTTTGCAGAGCTTATCCTTTAACCAGAAAAAGAAATAAGAAAAGAAATTCTGACTTTGTGTACACTGTAAGATTAGTTTGTAGCGTTGAGAATTAAGATCACTTCAGGGGAAATTTCTTAATCACAGTTCTTTGCATACTCAATGTACTATCACATTGCTTTACTTAGCAGACTGTGTGAGCCTGGGGGGGCAGGGCAGTGAGATGTGGTTCAACCAAGGCTGTACCTGATTTGCTTGAGTGTGGTATAACCCTTGGATTTGCACCCAGGGGTGGGTTCAATGTTTAAGAGTATGCAATTATTCAGTTTTGACGCAAGCTCCTCAGTTTTTGTGTTTGAGTAGCTGTTTTCCCTTAGCAGACACAAGAATGTAATCATGTCTAAGCCTTAACATGGTGTTAATGTGCATCCTGATCAGGCACAGCATTACTTTTTGCATTAGAACTTCTTTCTAATTATTCTACATTCACAATCAAACCATGGGGACTTCTTATGTTCTTTTTGTTTTGAATTTACATATTTTTTTTAAAGAAAGATAAGAAAATAAGCCAAGATTTACACTCAAAAAATCACACCTCACAGAGATCTTAAATATAATAGTCTGGTAGTCAGTTGAGAATGAAGCATGCATTAGAGTGAAATTGTGACTGAATTCTTCTTCCTGTGCTTTTTTTTAGTGGTCTTCAAACAGTTTCTCTGAACAACTTCTCAAAAGGTGCTTCCCCACTAAAGTGGAAGAATTAGTTGTCTTAGAATGAAACAAGCTGTCAGAATAGCATATATAAAGTATATAAATCATTTCTGATTCAGAATCACAAGAGTTGAAGTTACGTTGAGGATATGTCTCATAGACTCATTGTCCTTGATGTTTTTATGCTTAATCAAACTCTTATTTTATTTAAAACCATGGCTAATTCTTATTGCTTAAATGAGAAGTAGTTTTCATTTAGGACTTTGGTCGAAGTGCCTAACATTTGTGGTTTTTCTGTGAGTTTTCAAATTACTCCTATGATATTTTGCTCTGTCAGTGCTTGGAATTGTCTGAAAGCATCCATCTTGACTGCAAGACTGTCGGGCAAGGTGTGTTTGGCGTTCCAATCGGGCAAGCTTTCCCTTTACAAAGTTGCTCTTGACAGTGAACTCTCATGTTTCTTTCTCTGCTTCTCTGTAAATGTCAGCGCTAAAAATCCAAAGAGCTGTAGTCTGAATAGAACAAGCAAAGATCTGGTGAAAAATGATCCAATATAAAATCTGTTTATTGCTTGCCATAGAAATTGCCCTTAGTTCTGACCTTTTGCTGCTGAAATGTCAGAATAAACAATATAAATGCCTTCCAACTATTGGAAGCTGTTAGGTGGGCAGCAAGGTCCCTCACTAAGAAGGAGGGATGGAGGTAAAAGCATTAAAATCAGCAAGCTTCCATTACATGAGCTGCTCAGATTTATCACTGCTGTAGTCATGTGGGTGGCTTGAATTCCTTCAGTTTAACATTATTTTACTGCAAAAAGAATACCAGTTGCTCTCAGTCCTTTCTTATCTCTTCCTACATCAGCAGTCTCCCCTTCTACCAATATACTATTTATTCTTTTGTGTGTTTTTTCACTCCTTGGTAAGGTGTGAGTCTGAGTTCTATGGATCACCATTAAAAAGTAAAACCACTGAAAATTTTGATAAAAGTAAAAAAAGTGGGACGAGACACTTGACAAGGCTGAATATAAGAGAAGAGCTGGAACAGCAATGGTTGTTTGATAGAAAAGCTTCAAATCTAGAAACATGACAGTCTGTGCCTGTTTGTTGTAGGAAAACATTCTTGTGCAGCCAATGCAAACATTTTTTTGGCCTTATAAAAGCTAGGAATAAGAGCTATTATTAACTCCCAAGGAAGAATAAACACATGAAATTCTTGACAACCTCTGAAGCATTCCTAGGTTAGTTGTCATTAAAATACCACTGATCCTTAGTGGATGTTGGATAGCTTCAGTGAAATGAACTCCTGGCCTCAGTTGAGTTGCTGCATAGGAAAAGTGTCCAAAGTCAATAAATCTGTGGAAAATAACCTGCAAAAAACCTCAGTGTGAATTGAAGGTTAGATAAGCAGCAATCTCTGGACCAGCATCTTCCATTCACCACCTAAACCCAAGTACAGCTTTCAAAACACATGGATTTCTCTAGTTTTATTCAACATAGTAAGTCTTATTATTATGCTGGCAGGAGTGGGGTTAGACCAGTTGCATCCCAACATTTTTCCCAAGATGTACAACCGAACAGACTGTCCTGCGCTGCAGTATTATTCATTCATTCATTCATTCATTCATTCATTCATTCATTCATTCATTCATTGTTTCAATTTGATATTCTGCACCTGCTAATGCCACAGCACTACTCTGGGCGGTTCACATAAATTAGACAAATAGCTAATATGCTAAAAACATTATATCTACCTGTGTAAAAACAGAGGGTGCCAGAGTGTTAAAGTGCCAGAGTGGAAAAGCTAAAAGTTACAAAGATACAAACACCAAATAACTGAATGGAGATGTAAAAGTACCTCAGCTCAACTAAGGTCAGAATGGAAGGCCTCCTTAAAGAGCCATGCCTTTAGTTGCCTCTTAAACATCCCCAGGGAGGAGGCCAGGCAGAGCTCCTCTAGGAGCTAATGCCACAAAGATTAAGCCACTGCAAAGAAGGCCCTACCTCTTGCAGAAGATTTATGGGCTGCAATGACCTAGTGGGTTGGGCAGTTGACACTTGTAGGGGCAAGGCGCTCCAACAAGTTATACATTTCACTACTGGCTTGCTCTACAAACCATGCTTAAGACAGCAAACCTGTACCTAGTTTAGTCTGACACTTCCAAAAGGTCTGTTGAATGTTGCATCTAGGCACCTGTTTTCTGTTCTGGAACAAGGACATGTTGCACTGAAATGGAAGCTTGCATTGACTGACACAGGAAGAGTTCACTGTGCGTAGCTTAATGTAAGTCTCCTGCTGGCTTCAGCTAATCAATTGAATTGTCTGGTTGTGTACACAAGTTTAATTAAGTCTGATAGATCTCACATCAGGCAGTTTCCATCATGGATAATTGTTTGTTCAGGGTACTAAGATAAAATTGTGCATAAACTTAGAAGTAAATCTCTCTTGTAGACGTTTCTCTTGGAAGAATTAAAAACAGGACTTGCCTTGGCATAATAATGGTGAAAGATGATGAGTGGTGTTGATTTAAAGTTGAAAATCTTACCATGCCTAAATAGTTATCTGTTGTGCTAAAGATTCCACCCCCCCTCAATGTTTTGTTTGGCAGCTTGTAGATTACAGAGTTGAATTCAGTAAATGGTGGGTGACACAGTTCAAGACTATCAAGTTTCCTTCCCAAGGAACAGTATTTGACTTTTACATCGACCCTGAGACAAAGAAATTTGAGTCTTGGTCCAAGCTCATCCCCAAATTTGAATTTGATCCAGAAATGCCATTACAGGTGAGTGATTGCACTTTATGTATTTGAAAGACAGAGATAAGCAAAGAGGCCAAATAAGAGTATATTGTCTGTTAATTTGTGCTTATTATTACTGAAGTGTGAAAGCAATTATTTGTATATAAGAATAAGACTTATGTTTTGTTAACTAGAACAGCCTTCCAATTAATTTTATGGCAGCGATGGCTAACCAGTTGTTTCTGTTTTTGCCATTTTCTCTCCTTTGCTGCATGATATTCTATATGGTTTTCTTTCTCTATCTTTTCTCTGATGATGGGTGAGGATAATATTCAGTGAGGAGTTATGTGCTGAAATCCTGTTGCTTAGCATAGTAAATTGCAAGTGTAGTAGGCCCATTAATCAGTGGAGATTTAATGAGTCAACATCTCTGTAAGTTTCATGGATTCAATGAGCCTACTCTAGTTACAGCTGAGTATGCTAAGCAACAGAATTTTAACCATTGTTTGCTTAAAACAGGGATAGCGAATGTGTGATCCTCCAAATGGTGTACTGCAGTTTCCATAAGCCCCAGTCAGTTGTCAGGAAGGGTGGGAGTTACAGTGAAAGCCTTTGGACGACCAGAGGCACCCCATTCATGTTACGGAGAAAAATAGGAGAATGCCAGTCATATAAAGCACCTTTAGTAGATGTCTCAAAGCACCAGATAGATTTTAGTGTGTTTTGGTTTTGATCAGTTGTGACTGGCAGTTTGGCATATCCGATTTCACATGTGTTTCCTATCGATATGGCATTATAAATGTGTAAATAGATTTAGGTAAAGGTAGAGGTTCCCCCTGACATTTAGTCCATTCGCATCCAACTCTAGGGAGCAGTGCTCATCCCCGTCTCCAAGCTGTAGAGCCAGTGTTTGTCCGTAGACAGTTCCTGTGGTCACGTGGCCATCGTGACTAGACACGGAATGCTGTTACCTTCCCACTGTGGTGGTACCTATTTATCTACTTGCATTTACATGCTTTTGAACTGCTAGGTTGGCAGGAAGTAAATAGATTTACCTGTAGATAAATAATAAATTTCTTTCTAACTTATTTCTAGTTTGATCAGTTTTCCTAGGGGAAAATGGCTGCACAGGAAGCAGATTGCGATCAAAGACCTTAACTTGTTTTTCTCTCTGTGGGATGATTGTTTCTGTGTACAGTATTGGCCTCTTTGTCTAATAACATGCAAAGATGCCTGCCATCGCAAGTTCCATCTAGTGGTGGGTAGGCAAATTCAATTAGGGCAAAGTTTAATAAAAAAACAGCATCAGCTCCTTCATCTCTCCTTAAGGGAATCATAGTATGTACAATTTGAAGGGAATGTGTATCTAGATCAACCAGTTAGTATTAATGTAAATAAAGCTTAATACAAGACCTCCCCCCACATCCTGTATCTGTGAAACATACCACTGCTTTTTTTCTGTCCTTTGTTCCTTTCCATTCTTACCAGCCACATTTTGGTATTCTGGAACAAACTTAGGAAATATAATTCTCATTTTTCTGGGCCAGAATGTTTACTGGGGATACTGGCAAATGCAAGCTTTCATTTATTCTGGTGTTTCCTGATGTGCACAACATATTTTTTTATTGTTGTTCTAGACTCACAAGACTATTAAAGGCTCAAACTGGGTTATTGCAAGCAAACCTTTTGAGAACCACTAACTTTCTGAGATGCCATTTCTTGATCTCAAAGAGGCTTTCAGGAAAAAAGGGTGTGGGTGCATGATTGAACACAGAGAATCTTTCTCTTTCAAAGAAACCCTGGGCTCACAAATGGCTCTGCTTCTGCCTAAGCCCTTGCAATTGATTCACATTAGTGTCGGGTCTCATAGATATATGTAGCATGATTTTGCTAAGGCAAAAATAAACAAAAAACAAAAAACAAACACAACAACAACAACAACAACAACAACAACAACAACAACAACAACAACAACAACAACAACAACAACAACAACAACAACAACAACAACCACCCTGTGGGCTCTGCCACTTGAGCTTCCTTAAGGATGAACACATTGGAGAACTTTTTGAAACTAACTAGTTTTACTTGAAGAATTATTAGCAAGCATTAATGATATGTTCTGTCTGTATCTTTCAACCTTGCCATGTATCATGCCTGCCTATTCCCACATTAAAAAAAATAGTTCAGAAAAAATTAGAAAATGGCCATGTGCCCCCCCCCAAAAAAAAACAATACAAATGCAAGAGCAAGTGATACCTTTATTAGACCACACACGAAAAATATCAAGCAATGAACTACTCTCAAGATCTTGGTGCCCACACAGCCTGTGAAGAATGAATTATCATGAGAAGCTAGCGGTCTGCTATTTGCTTGATAATTATTAGTGCTCTAATAAAACTCTCACCTGCTCTTGCATTTGTTTAAAAAAGATATCTCTGACCATTTTTTTGTTTCCTTCCTTGCACACAGTTGGAAAAAAGTTGTATTTAAAACAGATATAATGCATGGATATTTTGCGGAAAACCATCTGTACGAATGGTTGTTTTAGGTTTTTTGGCTGTTTGGCCATGTTCTGGAGGTTTTTCATCCTAACGTTTTGCCAGTCTCTGGGGCTGGTATCGTCAGAGGACAGGAGTTAGAACTCTGTCTGTGTTCTGGTGTAGTATGTGGGACCAGAACACAAACAGATTTCTGGCTCCTGTCCTCTGAAGATGCTGGCCACAGAGACTGGTGAAACGTTAGGAAAAAAAACCTCCAGAACATGGCCAAACAGCCGAAAAACCTAAAACAACCATTGGATCCCGGCCATGAAAGCCTTCAATAATACATCCGTAATAAGCTTCATTTCTATGGTGAATTGGAGGCTTGCAGGGGCACATTTTGTCTGATGCCCCACAGTACTACTTATCAGTGGCACATTTCTGGCTCACCCTGTGAGGGTGATTTGAGCTTATTCTAAATTCTTTCCATTCTTCCCTCAGGCATGCCTGGTACATACCAGTGAAACAATTCGGGTGCGCTACTTCATGGATCAGCTCTTGGAAAGAAGGAGACCTGTCATGCTGGTGGGAAATGCAGGCACAGGGAAGTCTGTGATTGTAGGTGATAAACTGTCTTTGCTGGATTCTGAGGAATACCTAGTGAAGAATGTTCCTTTTAATTACTACACCACGTCTGCCATGCTGCAAGGTAAATCAGCAGGTGAAATGGCAGGGAACAGAATAAATTGAAAAGATATTTTCCTACATATAGAAACAAAATTGTGGTATGAAATGCTCAGAAGAAATGCTTGCTCCAAATCTGAAAAGGTCAGAAGGAGATTTTTTTTTCAAAGCCCAGTGCAGCTGAATTGAAGTATAGAAGTTCTTGTTTTTCCTATTTATGATTAGTTTGTTTTTGTAAGGATTTTAGAGAAAAAAATGAACACATGGAACAGAATTATTACAAGAGAGAGAAAATGGAATCCTTTATCAAGTGGAAGAATAATCTAAATGTAAAGGAGAAAGTAAATTTTGTCAATGTGTTGTATCCTGCATAAAGCTGAAGTGATTTTAAATTGTAGCTAGCTGTAGTTGAAAGTCTTGAGTTTTTTTTAATACAAGAGAATTAGTTGGCCTGTTCAACAGCTGTAGTCTATGTTGTAGGATATAGTAATAATTGAGAGTACCATTTTGTTTAAAAAATGGACCAGATAAATTTATATAAAAGTAAGAGTCCTTGATAATCGTAATATAACCCAATACTGCCTTTAGTAGAACTGCTCTGAATAGAAAGAGTTGTTCCATCAATACTTTCCCTACATCACCTGATACTCAACATGTCGCCAGCAGGAGCCAAAGTCCTAGAAATTGTCCTTCTAATGTTTCCTGTCCAGTTTGAGTGCATGTCAGTGTTATTCCCTCCCTGCAATTTTGCCCTAAATAACCGTTCATTTTCTCACTGTGTCATCATTCTCTTCAGAGCTGATGTGGTTAAAATGGGGTTAAAAAAATAATGGGATGTGTGCTGCTACACATGAGTTAGCTTTTCATGAGGAGAGAAACAATTCTGGTTTAACTTATCTTTGAAGATGTTTGAACTCAGACTCAAATATTGATCGTTTAAAATTTATTTTTCCTAGCATATTTGTTTAGTTTTGATTGAACATTAAAAACCAGGCATATTAGTAGTTTGTATGTTTTACAACAATAAAATAAGCCAGTTCTAGCCAGATATATTTAGTGAAGACGAATGCGGCAGGCAAATTGTCACTTCTTACAACTTCCTCCATCACTTAATAATTCCAGACACTTAGTCATAGTTTAATAAATACCGTAAATAAACAATGGGGATTGAGATTGAACATCTATATATGAAATACCCAGAAGGATCCATACATTATATCAGTGCATCACTCTTCCACTATCTGTGTTAATTCAGTCTGTTGCATATATAATTTACGAGTGTGTACATTCATAGGCTCCTGCCCTTCATCCTGCACACCAGTGCATTTAGGGTCATTCAGATATGTATCATGGTTTAAAGTTCAAAGTAACACCAGAATTTGTGTGGACAACATTCATGTGTTGGAAGCTGCAGGTATGTTGTAATCTGGATTGGTGAGTCAGGGAGATCCTGTGGTTTAAAAACAGTCTCCCAAGTAAGATTGCGTTCTGCACTGGAAAAGGAAAGATGATGTGTCCAGCCCTGAGCCTCAGCCCAGCACACATCCTGTGTACATTTTTATGTAATATTGTGTGTGTGAACAGTATCATCTGGACAGATCGATTGTCACCTAGGACATTTTGGATTCTCCCAAGCTGATGACTTACCATTTAATAAACAACTTTGCTGTTTGGTCAGTTGTACGCCTGTGCGAATCTTGCCATTCATCTTTGATAGCCCTAGAAACATATTTGACCTTTTGCCTTTGGATAAATTTATATCCTCACTGGAGACATACTGTAGAAAGAGTGTAGATTATTAAATTGTTAATACACTGTCCTGCTAGATTCTGCTTGAAAGCCTGTAATCTTTACGAAAGTTCAGAATGAGCCCAGGTCCGTTAACATTTCTGGGTCGGAGGATAGGAGAAGCTAACCACACATATTTATTTCAGTGCCTGCAGGAAACACCATCCCTTGTTGTCAAGATATATAGAGAAAAATAGCAGCAACTTTTTCATTTTTACCTGGAATGTGAGCTGTGGCTAGAGGCTGGGCAGGGCACTGGAATAAGTTTTCTGTAGTGTAGATAAGTGTGAGAATGTGCCTCAAACATGGTTGCTGGTATGTGCCGGTCATGATTTATATTCTCTGCACTATGGTTTATGGTGCTCAGTCTTGAGATTTACTTGGGTCTATTTTGCAGTTTATCATTTTCTAGTCTTTTCTAGTGGATGTTTGCTTCAGTCTTTTAAATTTCCCACAAGCCAAAATAATGAAGGTCTTACCAGGGAGTTTGAAAAACACCATCCGCTTATCAGGCATCAGTGGAGAATAGAAAGGGAATGAAGCATGGCATAGTCTGTTCTCCACTGAGTAGGAAACGTAGGCCAGTCACTCTTCCCCCACCTACCTTTATCCTCCCTGACAGGGTTGCTGGGAGGATAAAGAGGGAAAGTGGAAAACCATAGACTCCGGGGAGGAAGGGTGGAATATAAATATAGCAAACAAGCAAGCGAACAGATGATGGTATTTATTATGGATTTTCTCTCTAACCATGCAATGTAATCATTTATAATGTCACATAGTATGTATTTTAAGTAAGGATACCTAATAGAGCTCTACCACAGTTTTGTTTTTACAAGAAAGTGAGAAGCTCTGGGAGGGGGAATTTGCAGTGGGAAAATGGCATGAGGCATGTATTTAATTCTCCCTGTCCCTGTGGTTTCTTTATTCTAAATCTCACCTTAATGGGGCTAAGAGCAGATATGCCCTTGCACACACAAAATGCAGCAGATAATTTTTTTTTCTTCTCCAGCTAAAAATATGACAGAGTTCTGTGAAATGTGTGTCTAATGCAAAACTACTAAATTCATATTTTCCATGCAAATCAATCAATCAATCAATCTGTAGTGAACTTTCAATATCTGTGCTTCTCTGAATTTTGCAACTCAGTTCTCTGATTTTAAAAAGCTGACAATTTGAGGAACATCCACACAATAATGTACATATTAATGAAAATAATACAAAGATTGCATTATTAGGGAAAGTTGCTTGCAAACAGAATTTGAAAAGCAAAAGTACTGTGATAGGAGAACTGGGCCTGATGATGTCTGTCAATTTTCCTCCAGAGTTACTGAGAAAAGCCACAAACTCATACTGAAACAACACAGACAAACTTTAGCTGGAAAAGTTTCAAGGTGGACATAAAGTGAAATTGACAAATGTCTGCATTCCGAGCAAGTACCTGTTTGGGACTAATGACAGGAGGAGAAGCAGCTGCAGAGGAGGCGTTGGTGTGGAGTGAAATTATGGTTAGTTGGGGGCTGGCATTAATCACATAGGAAGATGCCTTACACATCATCCTGTTGTTTGTGAATCTAGCCCAGTTTTGGATGCAGTCAGTGGCTGACATACCGCTCCCCAGCCTCTCAGGCAGAGAGAGATATTTTCCATCACCTGCTACCTGATTTTTTTGGTAATTGTCTCCGCTTAAAATAGGCCTCCTCTGAAGCTAGTGTGCAGATTATTTTGGATTATAATTCCCACAGTATTTTAGTCAGCATGTCCAATGGCTATACTGTCTGGGGGTATTCTGGGATTGTAATTCTGAAAAAGTAACTTTTCCAGCTCTTTAATTATGTGGAAGAATCATTTGGGGGATGCTGTTTCTTCCTGCATCATGTTGACTGAAATCCTATTGCTCATCATAGTAAATCTCATTAGAGTACGCCCACTGAATCAGTGGGGACTTGGTAAGTCAACTCTTCTGTAAATTCCATCAATTCAGTGGGTCTACTCTAGTTGTGACTTACTATGCTAAACAACAGGATTTCAGTCATAATGATGTTATATGCCATCCAGTTGTTTCCAGTTTATGGCAACCCAAAGAATTAGTGACCTCCAGAAGACACCCTATCATTAGCAGGCCTGCTCAGTTCTGCAAACTAAACCTGTGGTTTCCTCCATTGAGGCACTCCATCTCATGTTCAGCTTTCCTCTTTTCTTACTGTCCTAGCTCTCCTGTCTTTCCTCGTAAATCTTTTCATGATACATCCAAAGAAGGATAGCCTCAGTTTAATGCCCTGTTATCCTCTTAAAATAAAACTGAACATTACTAAGATTCCACACATAGTGGTACAGTATTCTGTGTTGAATTCCAGCAGGGCCATCATGTAACTAAAACTATGCAGAACTTGAGATTTATTTTGGTTTGTGACGTACAGTTGTAGTTTGATGTGTGCTGGAAATAGTCAGAAAGCCAATCCACCACTGGTTTATGGACTCAGATTTTCTGTTGCATTTCTGGAGTCCTGCCTGCTGGCAAAAACTTCCTACTCATTGTAGCTAAAATGGTACCTGATCTGCCCTTGGAGCAAATTGAATACCTCTGTTTAAATGAATGGGATGATATATACTTATGAAAGAATGTAAGTATACAGTATGTCTAAGATAGAAGTATTAGTACGTCAGCACAAATAACATTGCACTAGGAAAGATAACATGATGGCAGTGAGGGTTGGTGTCTGCTTTCGTGTCCATTAAAGTGGGTGGTGTGGAAGGCAAGCAGGTGGGAGGAGCTGAGACAAAAGTCAATATTTCTTCACTCAATGAGCAGATAGGCATCCTCCCATTCCTATCTCTCTCACACATGGGTGTAGAAGCATTCAGTCACCCAGATACTGCCTCTTGCTCACCCCACAACGCAGCTGAAGAGTAGAAAAGTACCCCTTGACACCGAAAAATAAACATTCCTATCTGCTGTAGCATCCCTCTGTGTCTGGCTTCAAAAATAGGCAATTGGTTTGCTTGCTGGCCCTTGTTTTCTTTCTCTACCCTGTACAGGGCTCAATGAGGCTGGGAGTTTAGTGGAAAGGGAACAAAGGCAGGGCTCTGCCCCATTCGTCTTTGCTAAGGAGGCAGGCAGGGTGAACTGGTGAATGATAGTCTGAGGCTGAGCTGGGCAAGGCCCCATTCGTCCTCATGGTCCCCAGTATGATGGAATACCATATGTGGCATCCAACAGCTTTACGTTTCTACACAATGGTTATCTTGTCCTGCATGGTCATGGTGCTCAGCAGGTTTCCTGATGCTGTTGGTTGTAGAACGTAATGCTGTTAAATCTGAAAAAGATTCTGCAAAAGGCCACTGAGCCATCTAAATTCTACTTCAAGCTACTGAGCCTTGTGCAAGGTTTCTTCATGTGGCAACTCTCCCCCTGTGTGCATCTCTCTTAGCCCATCAGCCTCTGGGAAACACAGCAGATACTTCAGAGCCCTAAGACACTGTGTCTGTTTATTCTGCCATAATTGGGATCTGAGTGTCTGTGCAAGAGGCATGTGGCTTTTTTGATATTATTGTGGGAAATGTTCTCAGATTAAAATGCCGCTTTTCTGAACATGTCATCTGATCCCTCAGTAATTGCATTTCAGTGTGATATATCTCCTGTACACTTGTTAAACCCATAAAAGGGATGTCTCCTATGTTAATTAAGCTCTAATTAAATGCCTATTTCAAAGACTGTATCATTCTTCCAGAATTTTTGAATGGGGAGGGGAGGGTTGTTGAAAGAAAAAGATTGTGATGGGCGAAGGTGTTATCTTTCACGCAGTACTTCAGGTTCTTTTGTGTCGCAAACTGTCAAATGGAAACCAGATGGATTCTTAGCCCTTAAAGCTAAATGCAAAATAAAAAGCATTTTAATAACATGTAAATATGTAATCACTGCAAGGGAAAATGATAAGCTTTCTTTAATAGTTTAACTATGTGATCGGGAAGATTTGGTAAATTACACGGCACACATATTTTAAAGCATTTTATTTGTGCAGGCTCTCTCTACCTATGTTAAAGTTTTAATAAGAAAATGATTTTTTTAAAAAAAGAATGCAACTGTTAGCAAATTAAGGCTGCAGATCAGTAGTCACTTACCTGACAGTTAACTCCATTGAACTTAAAGGGGGCCACTTCTGAATGGACGTTAATAGGATTGCACTCTAAATGTATATAAGGTGATGCACCTGTATTTTTCATTACAGATATGTGTACAGTACCAGAATGTTGGCAAATTATATGCTTGTGCTATCCGTGTATTGCAATTCTTTTGAAAGATCAATCTCATGAAAGAGGTTAGTCCATTTGAAGAATTAATAGCTGAAGCAGCTAAGTAATAAGTGTATTGAAGACAAAAAAGTAATAGAAGTAAACCTTAACTCCTTTAAGAATGTCATTCTCACCCTTCTTATAAGAGCTGGTAGTTAGAGAAACATAACTATCCAGTTGACCTTAGTCTGTGCCAAGCACAAGGATTGTGGCACATGGTGAGAACACCTTTCTTAATCCTTCCCGAAGCAACAACTATCCTTGTTAGCACTACTTCCTTTAAGTCTATACATTCTGTCTTTAATAACAGCCACTGATTTTTCCATTTAGGGATAATTCACACAGGAGGGGCAGGGAGGGTTGCTCAGTGAGTTCATCTGAGGCCAATATATTGTTTCTGGCTGCGATTAACACACCAAAAAATAAGCATGGCCATTGTTTACTCCGAGATTCTATAGCTGCAGCGACTGTAGGAAGTCATTATTTATCTCATTTTGCTTTGTGCAAAAGAAAATATGGCATTTGTTTGGATAATTTCCCCCTGTCCTTCCAGTTTAAATTGCCTGTGGCACCTTTCTTTGACATCCATCAAGTCACCCTCCTTCTCATTTGTCTGTGTGTGAGATTCAGCATCTTTGAACAATAACTAGCTAAAAGGTTGTGCTGTACACTTTCCGATTTCTCTTGAGGCAAAGTGGTACCTTTTTGGTGACACGTGGATTCAGTTTGATGAATGCTGCTCAGTCCAAAGCAACCCTTCTTCTAGCTTCGCATTCCTGGGCACTAGCTTTGTGTCATATTTGTCCAGGTTAATCTCTCATTTATTCACTTGACTCGCTTTGAATCTGAACAGTCTCCACGCAGCCTCGGACAGCTTGTCAGTTATCATCTGGGTAATAAGCAATGGGAACAGATGTCCGAATACCAAATCATCCAGCTCAGTCATCATCTAAGGGAGGAAGTAGGGTTATGTTCCAAGTCCCTGAAAGAAATCTGCTTGACAGTTCTGATCTATAACCTCTTGCAGCCCTCTAAGTAGCTTGCCAGCCCAGCCAAAGCATTTCGTGGGGTCAATCTCTTCTTATTGTTTCTGATAGGCCAAAATATGGCCAAGGATAAAGAGATCAATATCTCAGATGAATTATGCTCTGTGTATTGTAGAGTCATTGCACTACTAAAGAAATACCACTGTGCTGCCCAGAAATGTTTTATGGACTAATTCCAAATGGGCTTTCAATCTCGTTTTTAAAAAAATCTTTATCCTGCCCTTCAGAACAGGGTGATTCACATTTTTGCAGGTGCTTGTAACATTTTCTTATTCCAGCCTCAGGGGCATGCAGGCTGGGAAGGTGGTATTGGCTATGCTGAAGCATTCACACCTAAGGAGGAAACCACACCGGATGTGAAGCATAAGAATGCTTCCCCTAAAGTAGCAATTCTTTGTCCAGTTTCCTCCTCCTCCTCTCCTTAACAGAAATGAAGTGCATTTTAGGATATCAATGCACTGTATCATTTTACTGCAAAGACTAGAACTGGATAGTAAGGAGGGTGGAAAAACATGTGATGATGTCCAGTTCCATTTTTTCCTGTACTGTACATAATGCATTGAGATGGGGCAATCAGACACAGATTGTGCACCCATGATCAGCATTCCACTCTAAAACATGGAAGCTATCATGGATGGGAAGCATTGTGCTTTCATCCATGAAAGAATAAACAATGCGGAGGGATGCCCCAGGCTACATCTGTGCTTTCCTTCATCAACTATCCTTTGGCTTCAGGCACTCTTAGATGAAACCAACACCCTCAATTCATTCCAGTCTGGGTTCAGGCCATGTCATGGCATGGATACACATTGCCCACCCTGCAAGGTGACCTCCTGAGGGAGGCTGACAAGGACAAAGTGTCCCTGTTAGTCCTCGTGGATCTCTCTTTGATACTATTGACCACAGAATCTTCCTGGGAAGGGTCTTGGGGTGATGGATTGCAGGCCTGGCCTCACCCTGGCTCTGGTTCTTCCTTAAGGACTGTCCTCAGAAAGTGCAGTTGTGGGGCATGGTCTCCACCCCTTGGACTCTAATTTGCAGAGCCCCTCAGGGGTTGATCATCTTTCCTCTGTATTCGATATCTATTTGAGACCACTGGACAAGGTCATCTGGAGATTTGGAGTTTCATGCCATTGGTACACAGATGTCACTCAGCTCAATCTCTCCTTCCATCCTACTGCAGTGGATGCTGTCCCATTGTTTGAGTGCTGGCTGGCTACAGTTCTGGACTGGATGGGTGCCAGCAAACTGAAACTGAACATGGACAAGATGGAGGTCCTCTGGGTGGAAGTTCCTGCTGCCTGCAGATTGGGAGGCTCTCTCATCTTTCGGGGGGGGGGGCATTCTCTCTGTTAAGAATCATGTTTGCACCTTTGGCTTCCTTCTGAACCCAGCACTGTTGATGGGCATTCAGATAGTGTCCGTGGGCTTGTCAGTATATTTCCCCAATACTGGCCACCTTACACTGGTTACTGGTCTGTTTCTGCATCAGGTTGAAGGTGCTGGTTTTGACCTATAAAGCCCTAAATGATTTGGGATTACAGTACATGGCAGAATGCCTACTTTCAACAGGGATTTCCTGTCCTGCCTCCACATCCCAAGCTAGATGGCTGAAAAATCTAAACCTAAGGGAAGCCCGGAAGGAGAAAACACAGAACTGGACTTTCTTGATGGTTGCTACTAGGTTCTGGAATGAGTTGCCACCTGAAATTTGTTTGGCCCCCTCTCTGGAGACTTTTATGAAATATCTGAAAACTTTTTTATTCTGGCAGGCTTTCCAAAATATTTCATCTGAATAGTCTGCACAGATTATAATATTGATAATCACTGCCTGTTTTTTAAATGCAATTTTAATTATGTTTGTGGTGTTATTATTTGTCATTTGTTGTACACTGCACAGAGTGAGCTTTCGTCAGATGGGTGGTTTAGAAACTGATTGATTGATTGATTGATTGATTGATTGATTGATTGAATGAATGAATGAATGAATGAATGAATGAATGAATATCTCACTGCTAGTGACTTTGTAGTCAGTTACATTCATGCTGTTTTTGGAAGGAAATAAGACGAGTGGCAGGAGCAATGAGAGCTACATGACACTAGGTAGAATACTTTTGTCCTACTTTGCAGGATTTCCAAATCTTTCAAAAGGAAGCTTTATCATTGCAGTGTAACAAGTGTGAAAATGTGATGTCTCACAAAATTACTGGATGCTCAGATATTAGACCAACAGCTGTGTATTATTTGTAACCATAGTCCTGGTTAGGAGCTTTCTGTTAGCAGCAAATTCTGCTTCTCAGTCCACTTATTGTTTAAAAGTTTTCAGGAGAAATCCTAACCCCCTGCATTCTAGTGGATATGGAAGACCGAAACTGAATGTCGTGATTTCCTTCCTTTGCTTTCTACCTTGATCATAACCCTTCTGATTCATCTAAACATAGCAATTTTGGTGATTCATTTGATTCTTCCTTATAATTTTCTTCCTGTACTCAGAGATTCCTAGCTTTTCAATATTGATAATATTTATTCTCTCCCTACATCAGACTTTGCTGAAACTCCTCTTTCCTTCAGTGTTGACAATATGAGCCCTTGCAGCCTCTAACTGGCCCTCCTATTCTTTGTTTTGTTATTTTCTGTAGAGAATGGGGAAGTGAGACATAACTTATTTTCACATATATCAATTTGCATAGACATGACTACTTCCTGACTGCTATCTGCCATTTCGTACTGCCTTGACCATTTAGAAATCTTGCACCATTCACAATAGAATTGTGACTTATGAAATGCTGAGCCTTTGTTTCCTTTCAGCTGTTCTTGAGAAGCCACTGGAGAAAAAGGCTGGAAGGAATTATGGACCCCCTGGAAATAAGAAACTCATCTACTTCATTGATGACATGAACATGCCTGAAGTTGATGCTTATGGAACAGTTCAGCCTCATACATTGATCCGACAACATCTGGACTATGGACACTGGTAAGCAAAGAATGGAGAGATGAGTCAACTTCTGGTCAATGTTTTAGGTATAGTTCCATTTTGTTTCTGCACTAATCTGCAACCTCTCTATCTCTCTCTTTAAAAAACACACTAGAAATATATATATCTAAATATGTACTGGAATGTGTGTTTTGATTCATTTAAGTTGTCAAGAATTACATCATAGCATTTGGAACAATGTGAAATCTGGTGGGTGGCTGAGTTATGATTTGCACATTAGTTGAAGAGGAGTAGATGAGGTCATTCCTTAATAGAATTATCAAAGGTTGCATTCTTCAAGCATCTCTATGGCAATAAGCTTCCTTTTTTTGGGTGATGAGCTTATGGGACAGATGCCCTGTACTTTATTGAGCTCTGTGGAATTACGCGCCACACAGTTTATCATTTTCCCATTGTTTGGTATAATGTCTTTTAGTCTAAGGGCTTGTCAACCCAAGCTTATCAGAGTGGGTTGGAATGAGCTAAATAGGATAGCAAGAGGTTGTGGAGAGGTCCAATATGTCATTTGGTATAATCCTCTCACACAAAGGGCATACACACTTCAAACATCCCTGTTTGGTTTGTTTCTGATGTCAGTTTCCCATATGTTGAAGTGGCTCAAGAAGACAGCAAATTAATATTTCCTTTGCTCTGTGGAGGGACAGAGGAAGTGACTGTCTCCCTGACTCTATTAGGGCACTGCATCATACATTAATTTTTTTAAAATTAGAAAACGTCCTCCTGGAAGTGGGAGGAGACAGAAGGGGGTGACAAGGGGCACTTCAATTTTCTTTGTGACGTATTTTAAGGGCTGGGTCGAGAACCTACTTGCAACCAAATTCACTTCCTGACAGGCTCTCAGAAAGGTGTGGGTAAGAACACCAATGGCTAGCAATAGATTTGGCTGCAGGCAGGTTCTTAATCCATCCCTTAAGTCAAAGAAAAGGGGGGGGGAAAGCCTCTTGTTATCCCCTCATATCTTCTCCTGCTTCT